TTCTAAAACCTAAGGTTACACAAATTATGACAAATAAAGAATCTTAATTTAATGTCTAAATTGGTCACCTAAAAGTCACAACCTAAAAAAATTAATTCTAGTTATGAAAGAAAAAATAAATGCAAATTAAAAGAAGAATAACAACAAAAATGAAAGCTAGCAAACTAATTAAAAGAAAATAAATAAATAAAACGAATGCTATTTTTAAATAAAGAGAAAAGACACAAGAATGCTAAACGGAAAAAGGATATTACAATATATACTATTTAACTATTATTAAAAGCCAAAAGAAAGAAACTGTCTGACTAATTAACCAAACCGGAAACAAAATGACAATAATTATAAAAAAAAAAAAAAAAACATAATACTAATAACATATGTCAGACAACAATAAGCACCTTTTTTTCCCTTTTTTTGAACAAATAAATAAAAAGAAAACTTAACAAACTAATAAAGAAAACTTAGCAAACAATTGGAAAAATGAAAATTGACTACAAGCTAATACGACAAAGCAACGATTTTTTTTTTTTTTTTGGAAACGTGCCAAACAAATGGACAAAAACGAACTTTTTTTTTTTGAAAACAAAATAAGACGAAAAAAGAACCTAACAAATTAATGAAGAAAAACTAAGCTAACAACCGAGAGAAGAAAAACCAATAACTTGACCGAGAAACAAAAACAAGCAAACATGCTAAATAAAAAGACTAAATACTTACTTTTTTGGCTAATTATCTACTGAACACTCTTGTATGTCGCACCTCTCTGACAACGGCGCCAAAATTTCATTACGCCAAATGTATACAAAATAAGCTGTCAATTGTAGCACAATTAGGACGGTCGATCCCACGATGAGGTGACAAATTAAACAACAAACGATTAGCAAATAAAAAGCGTTAGGAGATAAATAATAAAATAAAAATAAAAGATAATGAAATTTTTGTTGAGAAATTTAAGCATAAGAAAAATGTATGAGAAAATTATATAATTAAAACCGGTAAGGCGTCGAGATTCCCCTATATGCTTGGTTCACCCGAATGGATTTTAATTTTTGAGATTACTCAATTGAAAGTTTCACATCCCAAACTAACAATCGGCAAATAAATATTTGAAGAACATGTGAATTAAAATGTATTCGAGTGAGTAAAATTCTTACATTGAAACCTAACAAAAATTATTCTTACAAGAAATCTTAAAGCGACAATATACTGTTGGTAATATTGCAGTAAAAGACTACTCATAAAATAATATTATCGATATAATTATATTGAGCAACAATTACATAAAAAGAGCTTGACTAAATTTATATAAAAATTGACAACAAAATATATCAATATGAGAAATTAGAAATATGATAGAAGAAAATTAATCACTCAAATATATAAACTTTGAAAAACACATGGAGAATCAAAATCCACTCAAGATCACTTCACATATAGGTTTCTCTCTAACCTCACCAAAGAACTTTAACCTAGCTTGCACATAATTCCCACAAAATTTTAAAGAGAAAATATGAGAATAAGAGCAAGAAAATAAGAGAAAAAGTGTCTAAACTTAAGCTCAAAATCAACACCTAATACACTTCACAAAGTCCCTATTTATAGAGTTTTTAGGGCATGCGAAAAAGCACTCAGCAAATAAAAAAATAAAGGGACGTTTTATCCAATTAAATTAGATTTATAAGACTTTATTCGGACACTAAATGCTGAAATTAACCATGACATCAACGGAACCAAACGGATCAACTGGCTAAAGAATCCCAAACGGGTAGGACACGTGTCGCACGAAGAGAGGCCGAGGGGACTAAATGGCCGACAGCTTCGGACACGTGGCAAGCTATGGAAGGAGAGCTGCTACACGCGGGACCCACGTGGAAGAGGATAGAAAATTGGCTGACACACGCGTGGAAGAGACTCACGCAGAGGGAAGGGCGTACGCACCAAGCGCGCGTGTGTGCGGGGACAACTGGGTCCACGCGGCTGAAGTGTGCCAGAAAATGACACGTGGTGAATGTTGATTCGCCGGCCCGGCTCAGCTCGGCGGACGGCTGTTGATGGGCTTCATTTTCTTTTTCTTTTAGTTTTGACCCAAATGTCTTATTTCCCTATAAAACAAATTAAATTAAATTAAAACCAAATACTTTCACAAAAAAAATTAATTCCACACAAATTTTTAATTAAAACTTAATTTATTTAACAATTATGAACAATTTAAGTGCATTTTCATGCACTTATCAGGGGCACCATTTTTTGATTAATATATTATTTTTTATGATTTTCTTTATTTTTCGTCTTTAAAAAATAAAATAAAATAAAAATGACGTCAAAAATTTATGAAAATTTGCAGACACGATCCTTACATTTTTCTAGGCGTGCCTGCAAAAAATGAGCTCAAAAAATGACAAAAAAGTAAAACGCTGTCAAAAAGCCCCCGGCCCGCGTAGTGGGACGCCCAGGGGCCGGGATGGGTAAAAAATTTACGTGTCCCGGGGGTCTCGGGATTTCCGGGGGTTTCTCGGGGGTCCAGGGAGTGTCCCGGGGGTCCTGTGGGTGTCCCGGGGGTCCCATGGGTGTCCTGGGGGTCCCAGGGATCCCGAGGGTGTCCCGGGGATCCCGGGGGTGTCCCAGGGGTCCCAAGGGTGTCCCGGGGGACTCCCGGGGCTTCTTGCAAACGGCCCGCGCCCCACTACTCGGGCCGTTTTTTTTATTTTGTTTTTCAAAGGCAAAAAATAAAGAAAATCATAAAAAAGAGAACATTCATTAAAAAATGGTGCCAATTGTTGTATTAATTCGCAAAAATTGTGCATTAATTTTAGAATGCAAAACATAAATAAAAATGTCAATTTTTAACACATCTCGAATCCTGGGCGCCCCACTGCGCGAGCCGGGGGCATTTTGACAGCGTGTTTTTTTTTTTTTTTCATGTTTTGAGGCCATTTTTGGCAGACATGCTCATAAAAATGAAAGGATCGTTTCTGCAAAATTTCAATATTTTTTGACGTCATTTTTATTTTATTTTATTTTTCAAAGATAAAAAATATAGAAAGTCATAAAAAATAGAATATTCTTTAAAAAATGGTGTCGCTTGTTGCATTAATTCCTAAAAATTATGTATTAATTTTAGAATGTAAAACATAAATAAAAATATGAATTCTTGACCCAACCCGGCCCCTGGGCGCCCCACTGTGCGGGCCGGGGCTTTTTGACTCATTTTTCTTTTTTCTTTTTTTGAGGCCATTTTTGTAGGCTTGCTCTAAAAAATTTAAGGATCGTGTCTGTAAAATTTTAAAATATTTTGACATCATTTTTATTTTATTTTATTTTTCAAAGATGAAAAATAGAATATTAATAAAAAAATAGTGTCGCTTGTTGCATTAATTTCTACAAATTGTGTATTAATTTTAGAATGTAAAACATAAATAAAAATGTGAATGTTTGACCCATCCCAAATCTTGGGCGCCCCACTGCGCAGGCCTGAACCATTTTTTGACAGCGTTTTTCATTTTTCATTTTTTAAGGTCATTTTTTGCAAGTATGCCCAGAAAAATATAAAGATCGTGTCTGCAAAATTTTATAATTTTTTTATGTCGTTTTTATTTTATTTTATTTTTCAAAGACACAAAATAGAAAAAATTATTTTGATTCATCCTGACCCCTGAGCGTCCCACTGCGCAGGATGGGTGCGAGTAAATGGTCTTAAGGACGTACGCATGAAATAAGTAGACATATAAATTAGATTCTTAATAGTTAATAGAATGTAATTAATCGTTAACATCAATTTGTGATCTGTTTTATGCATATATAACATCATTTTACAGTTACCACGCCACAAAATGTATAACGAAGAGTGAGAGAGACATAGGATTAAAAGTTGATATAGATGTATACCTCTCTATATGTCATTTTCACCGATGGAGGAAGCTAATTATAATTTCGGATGGTAATTGAAAACAACAAAAACTTTCCAAGAAAGCATGAAATGCTCTAGGATCCTCCCTCCATTGGCTTTTTTTTTTTTTTGCACTCCATTAGTTTATTTTATAACCCAATTAGTCATCCCTAATTCAAAAGAATGTTAATACGCGGCCATGATCCTTTTCCCAGACAAACAAAGAGTAAAGATGATGGTAGAATGTGAATTAATCCAAAGAAAAAAAAAAGTAAAATAAACAAGCAAACAAGAAAAAGAAAAAAGAAAGAAAGAAAAGCATAGCAGAGGAAATTATTGTGGAAGTTGTGATGGGTGTGTAGACTAAAATACGGCTTGACTGATCTTGACGCTATATATGGTGGATGGATAGCATTTAAGTTAACCAAAAACATCTTTAATACGAAGAAACGCAAGCAAGAAGTTCCATATATATATATATATCAGAAATATCTTTAATAATTAGTATATGGAAAGTGGTCTTCTGATCTGAATCGAGTAAGTTAGTACACATAGATCCGTCCGACGTGCGCAACTTTTTTTTTTTCTGTTTTTTTTTTTTTGGAGTTCCCTTATGTCTAAAACGATAACTATTCAGCTTTATATCTTTTATAACACATCTACACTTTTAGTTTTTAGGATGAAAAAAACAAATTTATCCAATATTTACTAGAAGGTTTAAAGATCTAGAATTCAAGATGATCTTTTTTTTTTCTTTTTTTTGTTGCCTCAGTGTTTTGATATTGTAGTCGTTTAGCTACAATATCTGTGATAGGTGGTTCAGAACAAAAAGAAATGAACACAGAAAACTTGCTTTGTAACAATAAAATGTTGGTATAACAACAAAAATAACAATTCGCAGCTTTGTTTTGCAAATGAAACCACAAACAATTGCCTTTGTTTATTTGGCAGATCACAATACGTAGTAGTAAATGACGCAACTTCTCTTACAATGCCTTCTCAATGATATAATTAAACTACGTACTCAGAAAAACTCTTAAAATATTTTGGTACTACATTTTAGTGGCTGATTTCAACTTTTGCCAAAGACTTGTGCCCCAAAACAAATGGTATTTTAGTGTCCACCACCTCCACCGCTACCGGAGCCACTGCCAGATCCATGGCCAGCCCCGGCACCGACTCCGACTCCAATGCCAATCCCAATTCCAACTCCAAATCCACCACCGTGCCCAGATCCTCCTCCTCCGGCACCTCCACCGCCGCCGCCTCCAATTCCCCCTCCGGCACCACCTCCTACACCACCTCCGGCTCCAAATCCTCCTCCGTGACCAGAACCACCACCGGCACCGCCACCGCCGCCGCCGCCTCCACCTCCTCCACCACCGGCTCCTCCTCCAACACCACCACCTACACCACCCCCAGCTCCGAACCCTCCTCCATGACCCGAACCACCTCCAACACCACCACCTCCTCCACCTCCAAAACCACCGCCACCACCAACTCCACCCCCGGCACCGCCACCTACACCTCCCCCAGCTCCAAAACCTCCTCCATGACCTGAACCACCACCTGCACCGCCTCCTCCACCGCCACCGCCTCCACCACCACCGCCAGCTCCCCCTCCAACACCACCACCTACACCTCCCCCAGCTCCAAAACCTCCTCCATGACCTGAACCACCACCTGCACCACCTCCTCCACCGCCACCGCCTCCACCACCACCGCCAGCTCCCCCTCCAACACCACCACCTACACCTCCTCCAGCTCCAAATCCTCCACCATGGCCTGACCCACCTCCAACACCACCTCCTCCACCACCACCGAAGCCGCCGCCACCACCAACTCCTCCTCCAGCGCCACCGCCACCACCAACTCCTCCTCCAGCGCCACCGCCGACTCCACCTCCCGCTCCAAATCCTCCGCCATGGCCAGCACCTCCACCTCCTCCACCGCCAAAACCTCCTCCTCCTCCTGCTCCGCCACCAAAGCCTCCACCTCTACGACCCCCAAACCGCGGACCACCCGGTCCGCGAAAACCATCACGACAGCGTCCTCGGCTCCATCGACAATCATCATCGCGGAATCTAGCCTTGTCGAGCTTGTCATCCCCGAAAGCAATTGCAGTTAGATGGAGAGCGATGCAGAGAACAAGAAGACTCAAAGACAACCATTTTGAAGAGACACCCATGTCGATCTTTTTGTTTGCTTTTCGTAGCTCACTGAGCTTGTTCTTCTTTGCTCAAAATGAAAGTCCTTTTATAGACTTGATCAACTAGCTAGGCAGCTTTTAATGCTTGCATGTTCATGGGACGCGTTCGGACCGTTGGGGATTGGCGGGAACATTTAATGGATGTAAGCCTCAAGTCAAAGACGACTTGGATAATATAGATACAATTGCATGCATGGAAGATTTTGACTTTGAAAACATATCTAGCTGTACTGGCCACGATTTTACTACTCATCTTTATCGCTTTCATATGACATGCAAGTAGTTTAGCACACAAATCTTTAGCATAAATCTTCTGTACATCTTTCAAAAAAAAAAAAAAAAAAAAAAAAATCTTCCGCATATATATCTAGAGTTTGTGATCCACTTCACTCGAATTTGTGTCGTCACCAAAATTTTGATTAGTGTCCCATTGTTGTGAATTTACTTAGAATATGTAGCATATTTTTATGAGCGGGAAAATCTAAGACTACTATAAGGTTTTAGACCAAGGTTTCGGAGTTGGAGTTAGTAATTGCTTAGTTATGTTGATCTGTTTAATTGTTAGTTGCATGTTATTATCTTTATGACGTGAACTCTTTAATCAAGCATTCTTTCTATAAGAGAGCATATTTAATTCATAATTCTTTCTCAACACGCGCATATAATTAAAACGAATACTTTTATATTCTTTATGAAGTGAAAGAAACATTTGTTAATAATTCACCATTCAATTTGCAGCTTAAACCTTGTGAGATTATACGTACATTCTTTGCATTCTTTATGTATGGCATTGATATTGTGTGTGTGTGTGTGTGTGTATATATATATATATATATATATATATATCAGTATATCTAGTTACTAATGAAGACTGAAGACAGTATTCATGTGAAGTGTGAACATATAACAAAGATAGTCATGAAGGTCTCTGCCGACACTCGATTGCATAGCAATAATAATATATAAAATATACATACATACGAACACATATATGATATATACATATAGATATATGCCCATGCTAAAGCTTTTATCGCTCTTTTCCTTCTTGTTCTGATGTGATTGGAATGATCTCAGCTAAAACTACGACTTTCTCATCGTAATTAATTTGCAGATTGACAAAATAAAGATAATTCCATTATTTATGCGTAGCATTAATTTGGCGACGTTGATGACATGCCAGGAGGCAGTTGGTGTGAATGATATTGTCCATTGTCTATTGTCCACGCAGGATGTATACTTCTGGGAAGCACCTGTGGGGTCCTCAATGCAACTAGCAATACTAATTGCATTAACCCCGTTTCATTTTCTAATAATTTTTTCCATATCACGATCGACCCGTTAGATCTGGATGGTAGTTTATCCTTATCTTCATTTATTTTTATTTGTTGTGTCCTGCTTTTACCTTCATAGATGCTGGGAAAATATCAAAGAACTAATTAATTAGTAATGCTTGGAATCAAGGATACTTGTGCCTTGAATAGAACAATGATTTTTTATCTCTCCCCGATAAAACATAAAAGATTATTGGTATTATCTCGTCCTCTTTTCCTTTTGTTTTTAAGAAATCTCGGGGCTATTAATACAATGGAAATGACCATATAATCAATTTTATTTTATTAGTGACCTAGTTTTTACTCTCTACCATCAATCTCACGTTACACAACTTATTGACTCAATGGGATCTTTGATTTGGAACTACAAAATATCGTTTGGTGCACCATATGCATTGTTTTCAATCCCTTGGGATAAATTATGTCTCTCTTTTTGGATTTTACCTTTAGGCTTTTGCTCAATGTCTACTTGTTTTCTTTTTGTTTTTTGCTTTTCATTTGTCCCTCTTTCTACTGTTTGTAGTCATAACAAGCACCTTTATACCAGCCTTGAAGAATACAAGTGGATTAAAATAAGGACTTGTGTCATCTACAGAATTTCCGAAAAGAAAAGGTAAAACATATTAAGTGATGAGAGTAATTAAGCTAAGAATGTTCAATGAAAATAATAAAAAGGAATATAACTTCAGTAACAATCAATCCAATTGGTTCTAGTTGGAATCACTGATGACAAACAAGTGTGAAACAAACTCTAAAATCACTGGTTCTAGTTGGAATCACCCAAGCATTTCCATATCTTCTCCAGCACTAAAATCCTCAAAACTTTGTCACCCACTCGTGACAATAGTTACGATCTTCCAAAAATATTGCTGGTTTTACAGCGGCCTGGTCCGACGGCCTACAGCTCTGCCACAAAGAAGAGCATTCTTTGGGATTGGATATTCATCTCTCCATGAATTTGCAGGCGAATAGACTCGGAGATAGAATTGTTGGCCCAAATACTGGCGAGCCCAGTTCTCAGACCTTATGTTCCACATCCCAACGTTGTCCAAAGGCATGAAAATTGCAGTCCATGACTTGGGATAAACCTGTGATTTAAACACAGGATTAAAGAAGTTAGAAGTGATTATCTTGAAGAATTTGTGGAGACTGATTAGGAGGATTGGTTAATCGTGTTTATACCTGAACGGTGCAACGAGAAACTGTGTCCCTCAAATTGTAACTTAATCTGCTTTCAGGTGACCACGGCCCTCCATCCATCCTGTCCATCCAATGGTTTAGAGAAATGGATGCAACAACTTTGATATCTCATCTCATATAACTCTAAAAGTTTAACATATTTTCTTTTTTCTTTTCTGATACGTGAACAATGCTCATATAAACTTGACACAAGTTTTTGGTAAGAGCAATGTCCACCGCATCTCTTTTCAAGCAATCACAGATTCACATGTTAATCCTAAGAACGATATATAATGTCATGAGGACCTATATGGTCTTACATGTCAATTTTTAACTGGTTAAAAACCGTTGATAATCAGTGTTTTTGTTTTGGTACTTTGTTATTGATTTGCGAGAAAGAATGCGAGCTTACCCCACAACAAAGAAGCTATGGCCATCAATATGCCATGACTGCAAAGTGTCTTCTGCATTCTCAAACACAAGCTCGGCATACCCTCTAAAATCAGCAGTCATGACTGCAGTCTGGAGGTATCCACCGCCACCAGTGGGGTTGTCCGGGATGCTGCCAAGGGAAAATACCCCTGAGATCTTGAAGTAGTCAGCAAGTTTAAGCGGTGTGTCTGCTGGGATGAAGGACACACTATTGACAGCATATCTCTGCTTGCCATCAATTATTGGAGCAGAGTTTGCAAGCCTGATCGTCCGAGTAACGTTGATCAGTCCATAATGATAAGAGCCTTGGGGATTAGGCCTCGGTCCACTTGCCGTCAAATTCCGCCTGAGTTTGATATAGAACATGTCAAGAAGATCAGTAAGCATGAGAAAATTTCGGTATTAGAGAGAATCTTTGTAGCATATGATTTTATGTTTCTAGTGGTGATAAGGCTTTCATTTGAAAGAAGTATATTTTTGGATATCATGTTAGATATCAAGTTTCAATTCTTGCATATTAAAGAATTCGAAACTCCAGAATTTGACTCAAAATAGAATTTCACTCCATAAGAAGTCAACATCTAGTGAAAAGATTAGTATCTGTGAAGCATTATAAGATAGTGAAAAAGGAAGTACCTTACGGATCTGCCTTGTTCGAGAGACCAATCAATCTGAGTTGTTGGGCCACCAGGCGGAGGACCGGAAACACTTCCTGCT